CCAGCAAGTGCTGGCCTAGGAGCCAGGGCAAAGGAAGGCGGGAATGCTGCAACCTGCCCAGATTTTGGTGCCCCAGGACACCCGTGCAAGCAGGCTGCCAGGTGGGCTTTCAAAAAAGCATATTAAGTCCCTAGTGTTTTGTGTTTATTTTTCTGCCAGAAGACACTGCTCAATGCAAGTTCCACCCCCATTGCAGGAAAAAGTCTGAAAACATCTAGCAAAATATATTTGGGAATCTCATATACCTTAAGAGAGAGAACAGCAGTACTGACCCAACCATGACCAAGTCCTTCCTTTTTTTTTTTGCAAATGCTTTTCCCACCCTGGAGGAATTTGCTGGTGGTATATGCATAACAACAAAAACACAGAGCTAAACTCAGCAGTTACAGAATAAATCAAACCCACAAGCTTTTCTCTTAATTAATCAAATATTAGTTTCTAAGCAGCATTAGTTCTCCCACTGACACAGAATTAAGCAAGAATTATATAAAATACACACTCACCCCTCATTAAATCCTTCAAGCCATGAAATATCACCTTGCTACATATCTATTCGATACTTATCACGAGCACCTGAAATCTTCATCAGGTGCCCAAATGCTTCTTGTCGTACAGTAAATGCAAAAAATAAATAAATAAATCATCCCTTTCGGTCCTGCTGATACAGCCTGGAGAGCTGCTGGACTTGGTGAGTACCTTGCTCCAGTGAGACCCCCATATGCACAAGATGAGGGCATCTCCACTCTCCAGGAGGATGAGGAGATATTTCTTATTGCCAGGCTCACCCATGGGCACCTATGATCATGCAGACCCTGCAGCATCTAGGAGCTCCATTGCATCTAGCTGACACAAAGACGCAGAAGAGAAGGGATTACAGCACGATGGCCCATGAGCAAAACTGGCAGGACTGCGACACCACCAAACCGGCTGCGCCGTTCCCGTTACGGATCAAACGTCCTTCATCTCTCCAAGCTGGCACTGGAGAGGACACAAGAGCACACACTGGAAATGGGAAAGGGGAGGGCACGCAAACAGATGCATTAGGAAGAGTTTATGGGTTGGCATATCCAAGTCACATTTGATACTTACTGCGCACAGCTGAGATCCAGGGGAAACGTAACGAGCGGTACCTTCAGCTCAAAATGTCACCAGTCATATACAGCACATAAAGCTAGAAACGCTCTTTGGGAAAAAAACCCACAAGTGCAGCTGTGCCAACCTCGACACCTGGACAAGCACTTCAGATAGGCCAGCTAGACCATCAAAAACCAGCAGGGCAACGGGAGCCCGGCCAGCCTTGTGCCCACTGAGCTCAATGGCCAGGAACCATCCACCACGACGCCGACGGTCCCGATGGCTGGGGCTGCCCACAGTGATGGACAGTGCCCAAGAGCCAAGGCCTGGGCTGCCCAAACCCCTTCCATCTCCGTCATCCCACGTCAGCTAACACGAGAGCGTGCCGACATTTGTAGGGCTTTTTATGGATAAGGAGGACTCTTTTAGAGATGGGGGAAGAACAGCAATTTAAACAGCAATCTTGAGGCAGGTCACTGGGTATAAATAGCTCTCTTTAGGGTATAACCCACACAGTCAGCCGGGGATGTGCCGTTCTCAGGAGGCAAAGCAAATTGTCTGTGGTTGAATATGCAAAGGATGAAGCAGGCATCATCCAAAGCAGCCTTCACAAAAACGATATCAGAAAAGCAGAAATAAGCCTAAAATATAACCTAGGTGGAAACCTAAAGTTTCCACCTCTTAGCGCACTCTTCACTCAACTCCCTTCACTCACTGGGATATTTGTAGGCCAGCAGGAGAAGGTGGAGCACTACTAGATGAACAGTGGAGACCTCTTGATCTTGGGTTTTTAGATTTTTTCTTCTCCCTGTGCAGAGAGGCTGTTGTGGCAATAGAAGAATTTGGAGGTGTGGAGCAGAAATAAGGTCAGCAGCTCCTCAGCTGCTTGCTCTGACCATACCGAAGTCTTTCATCACCTCAGCAGCCTCTCCTCTTGATCCACACAGCACAGCATTTCCAGCACAGGCACAGGAACGAGCATGGATTGTAGAAGCCACCTCTGCGGTCACAGTCTGCAGAGCAGGAGGCAAAGGAAAGCAGAATGGTAGGAGGTGGCAAGGAAGAGGACACCAACACGTGTTCTGGGCACAGTCTTCATCCTATGGCGTGGGGAACGCAAGGGATGGGATTTGATGATAGAAGATGCTTCTCCTAATGCCCCTTATCTTCTCCTATGCTTCTTCTCCTTTCTACTGGGAACCAGCTCATCTTCAAACTCACTGTTACCCACCAATCTGCCGCTAAGGGGAGGAAGGGAAGGTCTAGCCACTAGTGGCACAATCCTAGAAAGGTTGCACCAAGAAAAGAAAGTTCAGGAGAAGCAAGAAAAACAGCCTCCAGTCCTGGAACTCCAACCCATAAAGCACCATCCAGAGCAACTTTTCCCTGGCTCACTCAGTGCTCCGACAGCAGCAAATCCCAGTGAGACAGGAGACACTTGGAGCTGCTGAAGGAGACACCAGAGCATCAGGAAGACAGAACTAAAATGGTTGGTCTCCTAAACAAACTGAAAGGAAATGCAGCCTCATGGCACAAATTTCTCTGGGCACATGTTCAGCCAAGGAAGGGTCTGAACACACTGAGATGAAAGAAGAGACAGGAGACTTAAGTCAAACAGAAGAAAAGTGACAAAAAACACACTTGGCAAAGCAGCAGCCTATTCAATTCTAGTCTCAGATGATGTCAAGCCATGAGCCAGCCAACTGTGATTCCCAGCACAAGGAAAACACAGCAGGATTTTTTTCTAGTAGTCCTCTGGAAATCTGCCACCTCTTTCCTTTCCCAAGGGTAAAGAAAAACATTATTCTTCGCTCTGGCAGAGGCAAATTCATTTGCACAGACATGAAGACACACTTGAATTTGTAAATTTGTACCCACCTAGGAACAGACCTGCTTCCTTACTCCTCATCATCTGCAAGGGGCCTAGAACCTCCTCATGATGCAACAGGCTGGGTAAATATGTCATCTCCTTCAAGAGATGATCAAACCTTCAGCAATGCCTAATACCTCCATTTTACACAGCAGTAGCTGCAGCTTTGGGGACTGGAGAGCTTTTGTTCTTCACCTTGGGGAAAGGATGCTGGAGGATACGGGGCAAAAGAACAGACATGACTTGGACCAGTAGTGGCTTTCTCTGCACTGTGGGAGTCAGCGGTAGAAGTCCCCCTCAATCCAGCTGTAGATGCTATTCTCCAGTACCAGCTGGTCCAGGTGGGAATTGGAGATCTTGCTCAGAATTTTTCTGTCCCAGGAAGAACCTGACATTGGATGAGATGGTCTGGAGCAAGAGAGAAAGAGTCACCAAATAACCACCTCCTTACAGATGTCTTACTCTGGGAAGCAGTTACCCCTGTGCCCCACACCTGACTGTGGTGCTCTGAGTCCTGCTAGTGCCCATCACTGCCACCAGGCAGCACCAGCCCGTGCTGTCAGGAGCTGACAGCATCACCGAGGCTGGTTTCTTTGTGTCTGGTTAGAGTTCTAGCACTGAGACACAAAAGGAAGAAAACTATGTATTATTAATAAGTGCTCTGCTCATAGCTTAATCACATTAATATTTTTGCTTGGAAACAGCAGAAAGCAGGCTCTGATGGCTCAACTGAATCACCACCTCATCAGAATACCACTCCTGACTGCGCATCCATCATGTGTGCCCAAAGGCTATCCAGCACCTTCCTGCAAAGCCTCATTGAAGCACAAGCAATATCCCTTCAGCCTCCTACAGAAAAGGAGGAGAGGGAGGCAGAGAGGCCTCTTTGCAGTGAAGTACATCAGCAATGCAACAGTTCATACTCTAAGGAGAGGCTCCATTTCTCTCTCTTCACCTGTCTTCACTGATACATGGAGTCTCACCTGACTCAGATGCTGAAAAATACATTCTGAGAAGTCATCACTCATGAGTCACAAGAGAAAGGGAGGAAATGACTCCATGAGATATGATTCAACTAAGGAGAGAGCTGACACAAGAAAACACAGGTTGGAGAACAGAAAAATATCTGTGGGAACCCCATTGCTTGTAGGGAGCTTTGTACAACGTGTTCCTGATCCCTACAGCGAGGGAAAATTCAGTAGATTCAAATCTATTTCCCTAATTCCGGATTTGGATGTCAACACCACCAATCCCAGACTGAATATTTACAGACAAACTGGTTGTAGGAGGCTGCTCTTCCAGTGACTGTGCTATGAAGAAGTCCTCTCAAAAGGACCTGTATCACTTTGTGACCGAGAGGGTATTTCCATTTCTCCAGCCAGGCGTTACTCATCTCTGCTCCAGCGGCAGAGCGCAGCCCCGCTGCCGACAGGTTCTCCGGAGCCCGCGCCGAGCAGGCTACCTTGCTGCACTCCGGATAAAATGAACTCATTTAAAAAGGAGCATTACCAAATAGGACAGTAGATTGAAAACGTACGTGGGCGTCCATGAGGCCAACTCACATACGCAGTCAATCACAGGATTCAAGTGCCAGTCACTAGCACGCAAACAGTTCATGCTCTCCTTAACAGGGGAAAAAAATGCTTGTTTTAAGTGTTCTCATAAGTCATTGTAGGGAAGCTAAAGCACCTCTGCTCCCACTCCCTGCACAACCAGTCAAATGGCTAGGTAGGATTTGCTCTCAGGCTTTTATAGTTGCTTCTGCTCCTGTGGCAGCACCTTCAAGTGTCAACATGACAGTGAAAAAGAGATCAGAAACCAGAAGATTCCCATACTAGACCCTTACATGAGACTTCTCAGCCTTAAACCCTAAACATACTCCAGAAAACATTCATATGAACCCGTGCAATTGCAGGAGATGCGGTTTCTAGAAAAGAAATAGTCATAGAAACCACTGACAGCAAGATCATAATGCTACCCCAGCATCAAAACTGAGCATCACCCTAGAACTGAATATATCAGTTAAAGGATTAGCATATGAGGTCCAGCTCCTTACCTTTAAGGCACGGACTTTCTTGGCCAAGAGACTCTCAATGTCTCCTGCAACCTTCTCCACTAATTTCCTGGGCACGTTCTCCTTGACCTCAAATAGGTTTCTATTCTCATTGTAGATCTACAAAGGGAAATAAGAGAAAGACAATCAGCATAACAGAAAAATACACAAACAGTCTAAACGGTCTTCCCAAAGAAAGGCTGTCCCCCAGCACATAAGCTTTGGAAGCGAGGGGAGCAAGAAGAAGTGCTTTGCAACCAGGAGCTGTGTGATCCACTGCCCATACCTCAGGTTTGATCATCTCTTCCTTCACACCTGCAGGCCACAAGCACCCACCTCTTGCTCACAAGCAGAGCTGCTCACAGCCCTGCACGTGTGCTGAGCCAAGCCAGCAGGGCAGGCCAGGCCACCACGTTTCCTCCCACACATTCCCTGCTTTAAACCCGTGCTCAGGCTCCAAGCTCGCAGCTGCGACTCATGGCTTGCTCTTCCAAGCCACATCACACAACCATGGAGGACAGCGCCAGCCCCAAGGGAAGAGCTGCTGGCACCAGCAGCACGAGAAGGATCAGTCCCAGGAGCGAGAGGCTCCGGCTCCTGTAACCGGTGAAGCAGCAGGGACTGCATCGACAGCGTCAGCACAGGACAGCTCAACCACTAACACCTCGGTGGCCTCCTCAGGACATCTCCTGGACCTGTCAGTTCAGCATGCCTGCCAGCTCAGGTGCCACCAAGACAAGGAGCAGGAGGATACTTATATATAAGTATTTACAATCACCTGAGATATTAAAAGACACATAAGACTTTTTGATTAAGTTACTTGAAAGGAGCTATGCAAACAGCATAGCATCTCTTTCTTCTCCCTGAATCTTTTGGCTACGTGTAAGCAAACATCTGGAATTCCAGGTCTGAAGATCACCGACAGCAGAACACCCCTCCAGGGAGACCTGGACCGTGCCCAGGACACAGCTCACCTTCCGCTAAGGGGCTGACTCCTGCAGGAGCTTCCACGCTCCTTGGGAGATCAATCACATCCCCTTATCCTGCCCACAGACACAAATAGAGGAGAGAACTTTCTCTGGAGCTTCAGTAGGGACAAATCAGCCTGCCTACCAAACTGCCAGTTTGCTCACCAGGATCTGGAACTGCGGTGACTGGAACTGCCAATACGGAAGAGACATTTTTTTTTAGTGCAGTCTGACATGACCTTCACTTTGTGCCTATATCAGTAGTCAAGAACAGGATGGAAACACCACAGAAAACAGCCTCCTGACATGCTCTCAGACTACACATTCCATCCTTTTTCTTTTCCAGAAACTCACCAGCAGGAAGCGGCTCCGCTCAATGGAAGGCAGCTGGCAATGAATCCAGGAGCCCGAGTAGGGAACTCATCCCTCCTCCTGCAGCCTCCACTTTCCTTTCACGGTTTAACAAAGCAGTTCCAGAGGCTGAAGCCACAGGAGTATGTTCTGAGGCTAAGCTACAGGGTGCTCTTTCGGCTTTGCACAGTCCCTCCACACCTACAGGCTTAATCTTGAGGCTTCAGCTTTGCTTTAAGACTCTTGCTGCAGCTCCTATTTTTCCCAAGCCTTTGGATGAGCCAGCTCCTTCTCTATCCTGACAAATTTCTGACAACGCTCCTCTCGGCAGACTTACATCCAGATACACCACTCCAATTCCAGCTCTGCCCCAGGCATCGATTTTTCCAAAAACCTCTAGGGATTTAAGTAATGTCACCCAGGCTGCTAGCAGTGACATGCACTTCAAACACCTGCAACTCCTCCGGCCTCAGAAAACAGCCAGAGCTTTGCTCTATCACCCTCTCCTGCTCTCGCAGGTCTACTGGCTTTCAAGGAAGAGTAAGAACCACCCCCAAGCGCAGTGTTTTGCAGTCAACCTGATTTCCACCCAAGTCATTTTGGTCCCCAAACTACCCACATTCCACATCAACTTCACAGAAACCCAGAACAGTTGAGGTTGGAAGGGACCTCTAAAGACCATCTAGTCTAGCCCCTGCTCCAGCAGGGACACAGGGTGGCATCCAGGTGGGTTTGAAGATCTCCAGAGAAGGAGCCTCCACAGCCTCTCTGGGCAGCCTGTGCCAGGGCTCTGGCACCCTCCCAGAAAAGAAGTTCTTCCTCACATGGAGATGGAGCTGCCTGTATTTCAATCTGTACCCATTACCTTTTGGCAGGCCCTTTCTAGCCCCACTCCCCATGGGGCTCCAGCCTTTTTGTCTCTTAACCCTACCTATAGCCCTAAACATTTGGCATCTCCTGTCTTACTATCAGTGGTTGTTACAGGAGGGCAAAGATGCCAAGAGAATGATTAGTAATTTCACCCTTTCTAGAGGCAACCTCATACTCCAGCAGTAATAATATATATTATTTAAGGTATTTTTCATTTTTGAGCCCCACTGCACACCACCCCTTAGCAGACTGAAAGGCCCAGACTGCCAAGAGCAAGGGATCCTGTGCTAGGGAAGAAACCTCCTGTCGGTGCAGGAAGGGTTAAAGCCAGCAGAACAAAGCAATATTCTCTCACGCTCTTTCCTTCCCTTTGGTAAGTACCAGCATAACAAAATAATGTGTTTGGAAGGCGCGTGTGCGCTACCTCCAGCTGAGCGGCAGCAATTAGGAAAGCAAAAGAAGAACAATCTTCAAGGAGAAAGCTTTGGGTAAGGAGGGCGTCCTGACATTAGTATTTTCCTATTATGAAACAGAAAATGGGCTCCTATTGGTTCCAGGCAGAAACAGTGACTGGCCACAAGGGAGAAGCAGGGAAAAAATATCCAGAGTCAACCCAAGCCGCTCAGGAGCTGCTCCTACCTGCTCTCTGCAGGTTAGACCTCCTCAGCTAAACAGTCTATCTCCGTTAATTAGAACCATTCGATACCAATTAATAGTGACCACAGATGCACAAGCATATATTAGATAGGCAGGGGAACGGCAGCGCTCCACACAGTTAAGATAACATTACGCTTTGCTCTGGCTTGTTTAAACTCAGACAGGTTTAGCTCATCACCGACATTTTCCATATGGGGTTTTTCCTGGGACTGAATTAAGGGCTGAATTTCCTCATCAAAAAGGTGCCTCCCATTTCATGGGAGAATTGCTGAAATTCTCCTAGGACCCTGTGGGCTTGGAATTTGCAATAGCAGTGGCCCAGGATCAGCATGCCCACCAAGTCCACGCAGGATGCTCAAGTGAAGCCTGTGCTCTCAGTCTGTGGGAAAGGGGGAATATTGTTGGTGTGCGCTTGGTAAACGGTTTCCACTGGAATATTTGCAATGCCTTTGCATGTCCTATCCCCTTATAGCCTGCACATGTCACCCAACAGGCAGAGTGGGCATACAGCAATGCAGGAACACAAGAGTAAAGCCAAATTCTTCTTGCAAAGCTCCATATATACATAGATATATACATATTTATATCTATAATATATAAAATTATGTGAGATGACACGGGTGATTAAGCCCCTGCATCAGTCTTGCTCAGCGTGGGGATCAGGGCAGGGAAGAAGAACCCAGCAGCAAAGTAAGCTGGTAACTAGCAAGAGTAGGGGGAAAATACTAACAGACAAAACAACAAAAATTACTGAGCTGAAATTAAAATGAAATGAGGGTAAGGGTGGGGATGAAGGAGGGAAGACACCAGAGACAACCCACAACCTGTAAAGCTTCATCCCAAACATTTCAAAGCACAGTGCAGCTGCAAGCAGCCGAGTACATGATATAAGCCAAAGCACTAAGTAGCCTTGCTAAAAAGCAGACGCAGCCAATTATCAATACACATTCACAGCAGCGACTGGATAATCGAAGAGGAAGATCTGATATAGCCTCAGAACATCCATTCTCCACATTCAATTCTTTGTCTTGCTCCTAATGCACATTAAACGATGCTCATCTGTGCTATTAATTCCCTCTGAGTCTATATACGCAGTGAGTTGTCAGGGTTTAGGAAAGCACTTGCCACTACCCAATTCCCGGAAGAAGTCGCAGCACCTTCCCAGGGCTCCGTTTGATCATAAATATTAAGGAGAACCTATGCTGCTCGGATGCACATATGCTCTAAGCAAAGGGAATTAGGTGGTAGAGCAGGTTTGTCCGATGGGTTAGACCACCAGACAAGAGTGGTCTAGGCCGTTTCAGGTCTCATCTCATCAGTACCTGCTGTTCACACCAATACATGCTCCATCATTGGCCTGCTTGGAGCCTCAGCTCCCTGCTGCACCAAGCATCTCACCCAGAGGCCCTCTTGGGCTCCTGCTTTCCTGCCCTGCCTTCAAACACCCCATGAAGGTCACCAGGGCTCCACATTCAGGCTCTCATTAAAACCTCCGACTACAAAATTGATCATTCTAGAAGCTAACAGAAATATTGCAGTACTTGGTGGCCCCTGAAAACTTGAAGTACTGCGAAAACAAGGGGAAATAAAATATAAATCTCTTCTCGGAGAGGCAATGCCACAAGATTCAGAGGACTAAATAACCTAGTAGCAAAGAGAAGCCTCATCTACTGTTTTTTTAAATAAAGTCTCAGAATTTCTAGGCTGTCATGACTTGAGATGAAGGTTGGCTCACAGCTTTAGAAAGCATGGCCTGACCAGGCTGTAATGGGGGACCTGCCACTTCCCCAAGGTTAAAGCCATCCCAGCCAGGGACAGCAGGATGCCTGGGAAACGGAATGGACTTGTGCTCACTCAAAGGCACAGAACAGACCACCTGGGACAACAACGGAGCCTAGGAGTCACCTGCAACAGAAGGGACCAGCAAGATCACCCCGAGGTGCTGCACCCTCCAGCAAGGAGCCGTGTGTCCGTGTGACACGGAGGAAGCCGAGCGCAGAGTCCTGCTGGAGAAGCGGGAGCGCTCAGGGCTGCAGGGAGCCCCGAGGCAGCACCAACCCCACGTCCCATCCCCACTGCACCTCCTGCTGCTCAACCCCCGCGCCTGGCGCTCATGCCCCTCGCGGTGACTGCGATCACTGGAGCGCCCGTGCTACGCCGGCAGCCTGTCAGTCTCCGTCTCTCTCTCAGCATCAGGGATAATCAGGCAGGCAGCGAGGGGAGCGACAGCGGCATTGCCGCCGGGACGGCCCTGTCGTCTGCGGCACGAGCGGG